GCTCGCGAGAACGGTGAAATCCTGGACGAGGACAGCGGCCAGGCCATCCTGAAGATCCTAAAGCAAAGCTTGTTGAAGAGCAAAGAGTACGAGAGTTCGGAGTCTACTCTGGAAGCGAATTATTCGCGTTCGTCCAGCTTGAATTCAGATGGCGATTTCATCTCGACGAATCTCTTCCTCGAGGAGAATCCGTACGAGGTGATCAAGGAGCCGATCTACGAGGAGATACCCGACGAGCCGCCACCGTTACCCCTAAGTCCGCCACCCACGGAGGATTATATCAAAGAAAGAATCTACTTCGGAGACGTCGAATACTATAAGAAAGTTACGCCGGGCCAATTTCTCGGTCCCTATCTGTCCGAGGAAGTTTTCAAGAAGTCCAACTCGGAGGATCTGACCGAGACTTATTTATCCAAGAGTCCCGAAGATTTCTTCAAGAAAATGTCGACGTCGCCCGAGGACGAGAATAACATCTCCACCAAATTTGAATTGTTGAGCTTCCTAATGGATTCCAAGGACCGCGCGCGTCCCGCGGAGGAGGACGAGGACGAAGACGAGGACGAGGAGGACGATGCTGAGGGAGACCTGGAGGCGCTGTACGAGCAGAAGGAGACCAGCCTAGGCGACCTCAGTTCCAAGAGTTCGCAGATCTCCAACGTTTCCGACAGCAGTGAGGAATGCAACATTATCCTAACGAGCTCACCAGAGGCGTTGAAGGTAAGTTCGAACCTAACCGATCAGGAGGGGGAGGGGGGCTAAGTAAGATTTGGGCAAACCTTTTTTCGAGGCCTCGAAAGTGCAGACATGCATGCCAGTTAATGTGGGATTCTAATCGGCGCTTCTTATCACTTTCGCAGTCGAGAACGGTCGACATAGAGAGAACCGACAGTGGGGTCGGATCTGAGAGCAGCCAAGCCAGTAGCACTCGTTGTGTCGCGAGGCGCTGGAGGACGGGCAAAGTTTCCTCCTCCGGCCCGGGGAGCCTCCTCGGTGGAATGCCGCAGGTGATTTCCGGCGCCACGAAGCTGTGCGAGGACTGCGAGCAGCGGCTGGACCCCCTGATAACAGACAGGTGTGCCTGAGTGACTTGAAGCCGGGAATCGAAACCGTTATAGTTTTGATGCGTTTGATATCCGGTGCTACTGATACGGAAAACCGCCTCGGTATACATATCTTGATGGACAACTCGCTCTCGCATTTTAGCGTCGCGTCTTTATAGTTTTACATCCCGTGCGAGTCGCCGGACGCGTAAATGAACGTAAACGGACTACGGATAGCTTCTCCGTTTCTAAGAAACTCGTTCTTAATGCATCCCGACGTCCTAAATCGTACGCTGTTATCACTCGGAGCCGGATTCGAGCAGATAGCGCTCGATGATCCGGAGAGAGGATATAACGGTCCGGAGTCCTCGCTAAAGCGTATCTTCCACGGCTTGTGCGACCGAGTTTCGACCGTGAGAGATTCGGTTTACTGCGAGCTCTCCGCGCGGGATTCGCTCGATTCGCCTCTGAACTATAAAATCCACGAACAAAGTGCCGTTCTGCGTTCCGGCCTCCCAGGAGCAATCCCGCGGATCGAGGAACGAATGCCGTTTCGCCACGGTCGCGAACTTTTCAACAGACGATCTACCTGCGCGTTCGTCGCAGCGATCCGTATACCGATCCTCTCCGCGTGAGAAATCAATCGAGAAAACGTCTTATCTCAAATTATTACATCCACTTCCGGAAACGCGAGCTTTCTGATTAACACGTCTCTCAACGTGTCTGTACTCTGTATCTGTATATTATTTTTACTGGAGCAAGACTATTGAACGCGTTTATAATTCGCTCGACTAGATTACGCGGAGGAGACAGTGGGCCACTTTCTCCCGCCATCGATTTTATTTGTCCGAGAGCGAAAGTGTCGTTATCGAGGAGCGCAGTTGACGCTTGATGAATGGATAATGCAATATGCGTCTGGTCGCAAGTTGCGACAGCCACTTTCATCCGCGATCGTAGATTATACGTACAAATTCGTAGCAGCCGCGAGCTCCCGTATTCGATTCGCCTTCGCTTTCATCTGACGTTAACAAAAAAAATCTCTTTTAATAACACAGTATAAACTTCCTTATAACGTTCGTGTTGTCGCGGCGTCGCGCGCGCAAATATTTTTATTTTTCTTGTTTTTTTTTTCAGCGGTGTGGTTTATGCGCCTTTCGTGTGCAGGAAGTGCTCGAAGAAGCGCGCGGAACGGAAAGAGATTATCACGGAAATCGTGGAAACCGAGCAGAAGTACGGCAGAGATCTGCAGATCATACTCGAGGAGTTCCACCGGCCGATGTTAAGAGCGGGCCTTCTCACGTCGGAACAACTGTCGGCGATCTTCCTGAACGTCGAGGAGCTGCTCGAGCACAATCTCGTTTTAGCCGAGAAATTGAAGGATAGCGTGGAACTCGCTCAGGTAAAGAACTCATGCAAAAAATACGTATATGTCGATTCTTTTAATAACGTTTAATCACGAGCTCCGTATTCGATTCGCCGTTACTTTCATCTGACGTTAACAAAAAATTTTCTTTTAACAATATGTAAATTCCTTATATTCAAAAGTTCACGTTGCGACGCCTGATTTTCTCGATCGCGTAGGAATCCGGGGACGAGGATCTCTTGACGGTGGACGTGGGTAAGATCTTCCTCGAGTCGGAAAGGATGCTCCACGCTTTCGAGAGCTACTGCACGCGTCAAGGCGGCGCTAGTTTGTTACTGCAAAATTTAGAGAAGGAGAAGGAGCTTCTTCGCATCTTCCTCAGGGTTTCCCAAATGGAAAATACGGTTTTGCGAAGGATGAATCTGAACTCCTTTTTAATGGTATGACGTCACGCAATTCTTTGACTTAATTTTTTTACTCAGGAATGATAAGGATATAAATCATTCGTAATTTCATGCATCATTATTTTTCAGGTTCCTGTCCAAAGAGTTACGAAGTATCCTCTGCTTCTGGCACGTTTGCTTAAAGCAACACCCTCTGTTCGATCTGACATCCAAGAAGCGAAGAAGAGGCTTAAGCAAGCTCAAACGAACATCGAGCTACATTTGGAACACATGAATGCTGTAAGTATATTGCGCTGTATAAGTATAAAACATAGCTAAAAATAAATGCGTACTTTATTTAATCAATAGGAGGCAAAGGATGTTACATCGACAAAATTGTGGAGGAGAATATCGATTATTCAGAATGGCAGACGGTCCATCGGCGAGCAGGATATGGTCAATATTAAGCTGAGAAAGGTATGTATATTTAAGTTGCTTTTATCTTTTACTTGTTTAACTCTGAAGTATAAATTAATTTTCTAATCATACCGTTAACATTTACAAAATTTATGTTAGATGGCCGTCGAGATCTTGGAATGGGCACACGAGGAAGCTAGGTTTGTCCTTGAAGGACGTCTTCTAGTGGCGCAGCCGACTGATAATAATTGGAGACGCGGTCGAACTGTTAAACTCGCACCTGTTACTGCCATGCTCGTCACAAATGGCAAGGTAAATATATATATATGTGTGTGTGTGTGTGTCTTTAAAAATCTCTTGCAAAACAATTTTGTGCGTAAATATAAATGCCATTCTTATTTTCAGCCGAATGCCGAGTATCCCGAATTTAACGACGACTCGCTCTTTCCAAAGCACATAGGTATCAAGGAAGCTACCCTACTTCTGGTCAAAGAGAAGCTTGGACGATATTCTTTACTACGAGTGAGTCATCGCATATTTCATGTTTGTAATTTTCTTATTGCCCCGTAATGATATTAATCATGCAAATCTGTTTTTTTTTTTTCATTTCAGGAGCCACTGTACCTCGATAAATGCATAGTATGTTGTGAAACGGATCTCGAAGATTATTTCGAAGTACAGGAATTGTCTTCTAAAGAAACGTTTATATTTAAGGTAAGATATTAACTTAATTTCTTTTCAAGTGCAGATCGAGACAATGGATTTTAATTGCGAAGAAAATTATTGGCATTGGTAAGAATGTATGATAAACTAATTTATTACAGGCCGAGGACGGCGCGAGAACAAAAAGATGGTGCAGAACGTTACAGGCTCACGCGCAGTCCCTTGGTGCTTGGCGTAAACGTCGAGGGGCCCTTCCTAATATCATGATCTGCGGCGTAGCGAGAAATTAACGGCTTAGTTGTAATAGGCACGTATGTAACGCGATTATCGTATCCATTTAACACATTCTTAAGCGACACTAAAGTTCTTCAACAGTGCGAAGAAGTCTAAGCGATTGCATAAAGAGTACATGTATGTACATGATCTCCAGATGAATTAGTAATGATTTATTGCGGAGAGAGAGAACGCTAGACCAAAGGATTTCCTCGGCTCGTCGACACGCGACCGTCGACGAGCGACACGAAAGTCTAGTTCTTACCGAATTCAAGGTATAACCATCTGTGTTCGGTTGTTACAGTACGTTGCAGAAACTTGAGTTTCCTACGACACTGTAAAATAAAATGCTACGTGGCCTCGAGAGCCGCGCATAATTCCATCGATTCCTAATGAATAATTTTAAGTACATATATATAATATATATGTCTGCATATATATAGGATTATTTAATATTAATGATTAAACCTTTCAAAAAAAGATGACGAGTAGCTGTGATATTGACCGGTGTATTGGGTATCGTTTTATTTTCGCAGATTATTTACGGATGTTACAAATACTCTATCCGCCACATTTTCCATCCGCGATTCTTCTTACCAGTATCGCTTCTTGCGAAAATGATGTTAATAGAATAGATTTTATTAGATTCGAGGTCATAGGGTTCGCAGATTAATAGCATTGAAGAATTTGCGTGAATCAGCAGCGTCAAGGATACAGGGTGCCGTATACGTTCCGTATAATCGGTGTGCATCGAGAATTTGTAAAACTAGGAATATACTACTTGTTTTCATTCCTCCAATTACTCTCTCCCTCCAAATAACAGTATTTTTACTACGTCTAACACAAGCAAAATGCAAATTGTACATTGTACTATATTTTTATTTAAGAATTAAGCCATACTGTGTATGTATATAAATGTATATTTACAATTCTCACACAGTTCTAACCGAAATTCATTGTAACGAGTTAATCCGCTGCATTACAACCTGCGATTTAATAAAAGTGAAATTTGATGCACGTTTCCGTGTATAAATCGTCCCGCTTAGGTACTCGTTCCTTCTAGCGTCTCCGCACAGTTTCCTTCTAGCGTCTCTGCATAGTTTTCTTCTAGCATCTCTTCACAGTTCTGTACTACAATATCCCTCGTATTTTTTAACGGTAATAAATGCCGAGACGCGCGATAGTTATACAATCCAAGCTCCGGTTGTTTCTCCACCAGATATTTGAAAGCGGTCGCTAGCCTGTCGATATCCGCCACGGTAAGTTGTGTCGGCCTGAGGGTCGGTTCCAAGTCAGCCAATTTGTACATCATCAAACCTAATTCTTTGCGGCGTTCCAATGGGAATAAAGTCCTGTGAGACAAGATAAAAAAAAACATATTTGTAAAACTAATTTCGTTTATTTTTATGATGAAGGAAAATCAGAAAGTAAATAAACTTACTCGACGCATCGTATGCTGTACTTCTGTCTGAAACTGAACATGTGCCTCGTTATCATTTCGAAGAATTCAAAATTGTGTTGCGTGCGTGGTTTGACCAACGGTGTAAACGACACCACTCCCACATCGACATCCGGTTTTGGTACGAAAGCTTCGCCTGTAAGTAATGAATTGGAGTGAATCAAGATTCATAAAACAAATCAAGAAAAGCGCCGTTAAACGGTCAGGACTGCATCTTAGATGCCTAATAATATTAATAGTTGAATAATATTACTAGGCATCCAAGAACCAGTCCTGACCGTTCAACGGCGCTTTCCTTGATTTGATTTTATATCATATACGATACATATAAGATATACGGTCGTATTTTCCACTTACTTATTGTTCATAAAACAAATTTATGTAATAGAGTAAAATGTACGAGCCGTTGAATTACCAGGTATAATAAAACGAAGTACTGGAAATGTCCAGGTTTGTGCCATTACTGACAGCCTGCATCGTTGGTCTCCCATCGGTGGAGCCACCAAACGTTCCGCTACCTCTTTTTGAAACGTCAACGTCATTTTCGTCCTACCGAACGCCCAAGGTCCGCGCTGTTCGGATATCGCGTGTAGCCACTTAACTATGAGAGCTGTCGACACGCTAAACGGTAAATTGCCTATGATGAAAATATCTGGAGGTTTATCGTTCCAACTCCTCTTTTTCTCCACCGGGAATAGACTCTCTATGTTCGTCTTCATGATATCGTCGTATATTATATCCATCTTCCCATTTATTGCCTCAAATGAATCTGCTATCATATCTAAAGTCGGTTTAAATCTCGTATCTTTTTCTACGACTACCAATCGTTCAGGGACCTTTCTCAAGATAGATCGGGTTAATCCACCCGGGCCGGGACCGACTTCCAGTACGTGGCTGCCGGCGAGTTTTCCCGCCTTCGTTACAATTTTGTCGGTTAAATTTTGGTTCAGGAGAAAATTTTGAGACAAACGTTTTACGGCATTTAAGCGGTACAGTTTCAATATATCTCGTATTGTTGGAAGCGGTGGCAATCGTGGAGCGGACATCTTCAAATCTTATATTACAGACACACTTATGTGAAACAGACGATTTACAAAGTACGATCTCGAGTACGAGGGAAGAAAAAAAAAGTATCACTTTACAAGCTATCTATTCTACTGTATAAGCAAAAAAATATAAACTTTTTAACACACAATAAGCCGTAAACTTCTTTATTCACATTTCTAAACAAGGTAACGTTTCAAGCAGCCTTCTCAATCGTCTTTTCCGGCATTTCAAAGTCGTCTAAGAATTTTTCCTGCTTAACCGAGTATATTGTATAAGCGTAAATTCCAATAACTAGGAGGCCTAAACCGATAGCGGTACGATTATTAGCTTTACGATATCCCTGTACTCTTATCCCCCTTTGCAAGTTCTGCTCTTCCAAGCGTTTCATATAAACTATATCTGTGGACTTGAGCTTTCCCGCGTCTTTTAGTATGTCAACCTTTGGCATAGCCTCATTTTGTGCAAGTCGATTATCTGTAGATAAAAATGATTAATTTTACTTATGCCGAAGAATACCACGTAAAATATTCAACTTAGATCATTCACCAGGTCCCATTTCCACACACCAGCGTCCTTAATAAATCAGAACAGGTATACGTTCCTTTTCTTGTTATCAGTCCAGCCTCGTCAAAATCTGTTAAACAAAAAAAAAAGACTGTTGTAAAAATCTTTATTTACTTGTACATACAATAAGAAATAGCGCAAAAGTAGTAAAACTCTTAGATAGTTTACATATATATTTTTTTATAGATATACTCACATACATATCACAATTTCAATATGTAAATTTAAATATGTAAAAATGTTTCTTATTAAATTATATTAAATTATATATGGGTTGAATAATATTAATAAATTCTTTTTCTACAAAATTATAGAAAAATAACTTTAAGATTAACTCGAAGAATTTTTATCTAAGATTTTGAGGTTAAGTTAAATCAAGTGTGATTCTATTAATATTTCTCTTTATGTGCGTGACAATTTTTATCAAATATTAATTAAAAGATGCCCTACATATTTGACAATGACATTAAGATGCGCAAATTATACGTACGGTTGAAAAGAATCTTAATTCAACTTTATCCTCTTTACATTGCAAGATCACACGCAATCTAGCACACCGTGCAATGCAATACCGCCATCGCAGCCGCAGCGGCGATTATGCGCAATACAAGAAAATGACTTCAAGCATCTCCGTATTCTCCGTTGGTATTATCACGCTTAACATCAATTCGGTTTTATGGAATTGGTCTTATCGTGTATACCTTTATTGATATTTTCTAGATTTAGAATATGAAAAGTAATCCACAAATGTTAATGAGACATCCGTATACACGGTCATACTCTTATCTTCAGCGATTGTCTCATTCATGATTATATAATCGTGGTCTTATTATATAATTACGACCGTCACTGCAATGTATAATTATCGCCAAAAACTTAAATTTATAAAAATCAATAAAGTAAATATATATAACCCTTCGTCCCACTAGGTTTTTTTGGCACCTTTACGCCGCATAGGTGGGTCGTTTTCGTCTTGACGTTTTTTTTTAAGTCTTAAAGTGTTACAAAAAATCTGAAAAAATTCATGAAGGTAATTCAAACCTTCAATTTGAAGTATCAATCATAAAATTATAAGCAATTTAATTTTTTCACATATTTTTATTTAAGAAATGGAGCAACTACAACTACAACTTGTAAAATCATCTTTTACTCAAAAAATCATAACTTTAAGACAAATAAAGATATCGAAATATATAAAAAAAGAAATTGAAAGGGAAAAACGTACCTTTCATAAAAAAAATATTGCATGCAATTATTTTGAAATGAACTGCTTAAGTGTTCGCTGCCAACCTCGTTTTTTCAAGAATTACGTGTCTCCTGTAACGGCTGGAGGGGGTCTGGCGCCTTGAAACTTGGTAGGCGGGTTCTCGGGGAGCATAACTTTTTTTACGGATGCGCAGTGGCGCCATTTCTACGCGTTTGCAAAAGTTACAACTACATTTGATTTTCGCCCGGACGAAAACGACCCACCTTGTGGGACGAAGGGATAATCAGATAAAAAAATGACACTTGTCAAATTTTCAAAACAGAGTTTTAGAATTCTATCTGCTAAAATTTGAAATGTCAAATTGTCAAAAGCTCTAAGGGTCTTCAAGCTGCCAAAATTTAAACTCTCAAATTGTTAAAACATCAGGCGAACATGATATAAGATAAAAAAATGGCAGAGATAAAAAACCGGAGCAATTTCAAGAGCTTAAATTATTAAAATATAAAACAGAGTACTATATGTTAATTAAAATATAAAACAAGCTTTACTTTATTGCAATTCATTCTTTCTAAGATAAATATACCGTCTATTGAAATTAATTAAAAATTTGTAATCATTATTGGCGGGTACTAATATTATTCGATAAAGATTTAATAATCTTTGACTGAATATTATTTTAAATATATCTTTTATATTTTATTAGTGTATAAAAGCTTTCTATTGTTTTATTATAGACTCTCATCTCAACGTAGAAAATGTGCAATTTAATTTATTAGGAAAATGATAAAGCGCGTATATAGCTAGAATAAATATTACGGAAGAGAAAAAGCAGAATTATAAATTATAAAAGAGCCAAGAATAAAATACATAGTTACAAAATAATTTTTCTCTATTAAGAAATTAAAAAAGCAGCAATATTAACGTAGATGCACACTTTTAGTGACAACTGTAGCTTTAAAAAAATTAAAAATTGTATTTATTTTAGTACATATAATTTATCAAGTAAGTAAATCAGAAATTACCGTAATAAATAGAGGAATTTTTATAAATTTTGAATCTAAAATAAGGAGACCGATTTTTACTTAATTAATGATATTTATTTAATAAAATATCGATATATAACATGATGTAAATGTATTTTTTACGAGTCCATATGAGTGTCAAGATAGAAAATACATCCATTTCCGCGAGCTGATTAATGATATAAGATCCTTGTAGTATAATAGGGTATTGTAGAAAGTAATCTATTCACTGTCAGGCTATATCCGTAAGACTCATCGTCGTCGTCGTCGTCGTCGTCGTCGTCGATCGATCGGCTGCTCCTTTTCGAGAGGAGCCTGACAGTCGTGCGCGCTGCGCTCTCACGTACTCACTCGGTACGTTAATAATGACGTGCACGCGTGGAATTCGATAGATTGCGGGCGATCCGCCACTGAAATTCGACGTACAATCGGTAGCCAGCTCGCGAGTGGATTAGGCGGCTCGGATAAATTTTCAATTGGATCGCTAAGCTCTCTTGTCAGTAACTGACGTTGCACGGTTACGCGCTGGCACGGTTCATAACAATTTGACATATTTCACGGGCGGAGAGCACCAGCTGCATCTAATTCCACGCGCCGAAAAGTAAATCGAGAGAGAGAGAGAGAGAGAGAGAGAGAGAGAGAGAGAGAGAGAGAGAGAGAGAGAGAGAGAGAGAGAGAGAGAGAGAGAGAGA